TTCTTCTTCATCATCATCTTTTTTATCTGATCCAAGCGATTCGACCGGGCGAGAAAGGTTTGGAATGGTTCTTGCCTCACCAACTATCTTCATAATCTCCTCTACTCTTTGAGGAGAAAAATTAATAAGATTAACATTCCTTTGGTAATAGATTGCTTGTGCTGGCTCCTTTAATTCTCTTGGCAAATTCTTTAGGAACCATGCATGACTCTTAATCTCTTTAAGCGTACTTCTCTATAATAGTTACAAAACAACAACAGTTTAAGAAGAATAAGTTGATTAGCAGATAAACAATAAGGTTAAAATATATCTCTATACTTACATGTAACGGATTGTGCAAAAAAAAAAAAAAAAAACTTACATGTAACGGATTGGCAACAAATATACGAGATAGTAACTTTCTGCAGTCTTCGGATATGTGAACATATCCTGGAATCTTGTAGTTTACGGCCATTATTTTCTGCATTTTCAAACCCAAAAATGACATATGAGTGTGTGATTATATACGAATCACTTTGTTTATTTGATTATATATAAAAGACCTGAACAGTTTTTCGGAAATTGCGAGGGTCTTTAGGGTCTTCGAATGGATAAGCTCCTACCAACATAACATAGAGGGCCACTCCACAAGACCACACATCAACTGACTGTAGAAAGATATATAAATCAAACAATCTCAAGTTATATTCTAAATCTGTAATCAATAATCATCGTCCATTTTATAGTTTCTTCCGACTAGGAGTAGAACATGTAAAGTTCGAATTCAGGTTGTTAGATAGTTTTTTTGTATGAATTTGGGATTTAAAAATAGGAATTTCGATTATTATATTTTTACAAAATTACGTTTGGTTTATTTTGTTATACTTTGTTTTCTTGGATTTAATTTTTGTTTGCGAATAAACAAAACATTATTTTAACCAAACTAAATCTTAAACTTTAGATATATCATTTTCTAACTAGAAAGAAACCCTGACCAACCTTTGATAAGATTTCTTTTTGAATATAAATCATCCCTCCCAAAAGATTAAAATAGGGGAACAAAATTTAACATCTTTCGGAGGATCGATTTTTTGCTATTAGACTACCACACATTTGGTAGTATGTTTTTCATTTAGCTCCCAGATTAATTAGCGGTCGATTCGAAACGGACAAATGTCTTCTTAGCAAAGTATATTAATAAATATATTTCAAAAGGTAAACACCACGAAATGGTGCATGTTACTTCCGAAAACAAATAGTATTAAGTTGACTAATGAACATTTTGATGACGTTGGTTATTTGACAGTGGCCATTTAATTTGAATAGATATTGGATAAAGTCGATGTATATAGTAATTAGTATAGAAGATTAGTAACAAATGTCATGTGAGTGGATAAGTGAGGCAAGCTTTTGTCGTTTACTACTCTTTTCCACGAATTATGGTTTTATAACTATTGAAAGTGGAATGTCCACCTAAAAAACTATTGAAAGTGGAATTATATGAATCACTTGTAAATATCTTCGTTATGGGGTAAAATAAACACAAATATCTTATTTACTACGATTAAATAATGGAAACTAGTGATGTATGTAATAATTTAAATACCTTTCCGTCGTATTCCGATCGACAAAAAACTTCCGGTGCTATATATGCCGGAGTTCCCACCGTTGATTTTGGGTTGGAGTGCAGAACAGAAGACTGTATACAAAATTTAGAAATTATTATCCATTCAGAAATTTAGATTATGTTACAAAAATTAGAAGAAAAAAATGGAATTTACTAAAAGAACAAAAAAAAAAAAAAAAAACCTTTGAGTAGCCAAAATCACAAATTTTTAAACGTGGTGCTGGGCTTCCATCAAGCAATGTGTTTTCTAATTTCAGATCTCTATGGCATATTTGCTGCAAAATAATTTGTTTCATTAATAAAACACATCACACACACAACTAATTACATACAACTTGAGTTGCATCAAAAAAAAAAAAAAAAAAAAACGTTACCAATGCATGTAAGTAATGGACTCCACAAATGAGTTGTTGAAAGAAATATCTTGCCTGCATGTAGAAATAATAAATTAATTGAAATAAATGAACTTTTAACGAATAAAAAATGTGGTGACTAAAATTATCATTTATTGTCCATTAAAATGCTGTTGTTCTTTTTTTGCTAAAAGTGAAATGCATGTTAAAGACAAGAAAAAAAGAATTTCATTTCCAAACCTCAGCTTCGCTAAATCGACCCACGCTAGATATCCGCTCGAACAGTTCTCCTCCAGCTGCATACTCCATTACTATTCCAAGATGTGTCGGAGTTAAAACAACCTAAATCATCAACACACCAAGTTTCAATATTTTTTTATTCGCATCAAAAGTGTCAAATTTGGTGTAGTTTCCGACTACTATGGTTTGAATATTGAACATGTCGAAAAAAATCATTGGATCGAATAGTCAAAAATGGATAAATTTTAGGAGATAAATTTTTTCAATATATGAACTCAGAAATTTAAGTAAAGGAGCTAATTAAGATGCACATCCTTAATAACTTGCCTCTTTAAACCGAACAATATTCGGATGGTTGAGAGCTCTATGATTGATTATTTCTCTTGCAACGTTCTCATCTATCTGCATCAGGCAACCAGTTTGGTAACAACATGAAAGTTCTTAGTATAAGAGGAAAGAACAAACAAACAAAACTAAAAGAAAACAGAAAGAAAAAAAATGGACCTTGTAGCCTCGATCGATGAATTTGACAGCCACAAGCTCGTTTGTTTGCTTATTACGCATAAGCCGAGCCAATCCGAAATTACCAAATCCTAAATCCTTCACCATCTCATACTTCTCCATAGCTACCACTTTTGTTTTTGTTCTCACTTCCCTAAAATGGTCCTTTATTATTTTTTTTTCTTTTTGATGAATCTTCTCGTCCAAAATATCTGTAGAGACTAGATATAGATATATATATATATATATATATATATATATATATATATATATAGAGTAGTGACTAAGAAGGATGTTGTTTAGTTTGTCTCTTAATAAAAGTTATTAAATCTCTCACACATACACACACAAAAAAAAAAAAGTGATTTAGTTTACACGTAGCAAACATGACGAATACTTGAATAAAAATGTTGAAAGAGCTTTTCAGGATACGAATGGACATTTCTCGTATCTAACAATTCTTTCTTAACCATTTTTACCTCTACAAGTATCACTTTTACTATTTCTTGTATGGGTTTAAAGATACTCAAACTGTTGAAATTTACCTCTCAAGCAAGATTAGGTCATTGAATTGTGGTTTTGAGTTTTGAATATCCTGCATACGCGTCACCGTTTAGGTGAACGTTGGACCAATATCTGCTTGGAGAACCCCTTACAAAGGAGGAACCGAAGAGACAAGAAGAGCAAGCCATTCATGTCCCTCTACCAAATCCATTGTCTAAGAAATGAGAAGTATGAGCCTGTAAATGTGAACGATCAAGATCTTGTGAGTGAGATTTTAGGAGATGTCTTGGCTGGAATTTAGTCTGTACAAGAGAAAATTTAAACATGATCTAATACAAAGAAACCCGAACCAGATGATGCAATAAAACTTTACGATTGATTTATAAACCTCTTTTTGTGATAACTTTATTTCTTATGCAGATAATATGAGTCTATACTTACAAAATTTATAATTAATCATTCAACACTGATGATTTTAAGTCTCAGTAAGAATTTATAATTTTTTTGAAATTTAACTTGATTTTTTTTTCTATTTCACAGTTTTCATATGGACAAGCAATTAAATTACATCAAACATTTAGGGGACTATTTTTTGCCCTTCAAATGCTGTTTCACTTAAACTAATGAAATTTTCATTTTAAAGTCAGTTTCTTTCAAAGTCAAAACTTATAAATGATAGTTATGAAGTGAGGAATTGTCATCTTGCGGCTCGACGGTTGGTGTAAAAGGCTTCTATCTGCGGCGGAAGTTGACTTGGGGTCACTATATACTTGCAAAGAGATTAGCGGCGGATCCGATGGATCCTAGATGGCTAGTGACCCCAACAATTATGTACTTTTGTCACTATCTGAATTAAACTTGGTTCTTATAACATGCTAAATTTCACAGGCTTCTGACTACAACCAATTGAGTATTACTCTAGGTCCCTTTACACTGCGATGAAACTCGAGAAGAGATCGAAAACTCAATAACTTACTAAGTAAATAGCGTAAAATATACAAAACGACTATCAACCATTAGTGTAAGAGAGTTTTGGGCTTCCATAATCTCTCCATAGCATCTTTAAAGTACGATTACTTCAATGGATATATTTTGCTTGTAATGTTATTAAATTATCGTCTCGCAGGATCAGATAAAACTCTTATGACACCAAGAACATCTTACAAGGTTCATGACTACATACCCGTATAAATTTTCATCACTCAAAAAATACAACTTATTATTGCACACCATAAACAATGTGAAAACTATATCCATCACTTAAACAAGAAATGGATATCTTCATTATGTTGGCTTTTGATTCTTTTTCCTTTTCCTTACATATACGATTAACTCTCTGGATGTACTAGAAGTATCTTCCACTTCAACTATTTCTTTACCATGTGACACATTTTGAGTCTTCTCCATTTTCTTCAAAAGAACCAACATCAATCTCAATCAATACCAACATTATCATCTTCAAAAAAAAAAACTATCTTTATACAAACCTTCTTATTTAAGCGCTGTCTAGACATTAACTCATAGAATTTCCGCATCATCATCTCTTCTTCCACCTATAAACACAAATGTATGTAAGATTGATTTCTTGCTCATATTATTCATATCAAAAGTACACAAAGTTTCATCAAACAAACCTCAAGTGTTTGGAGTTCTTGAGTCATCGTTTTACGAGTTTCTAAAAGCAATTCAGTTTGCTTCTCCAAATGGCTGTTGATGTGCTAACAACGGTAAATCATTATACGCAATGCACACACGAAAAATAAGCGTAAAACTGAAAACAAAGACGCACTTTAATAAATCGTCGGTATATTCAGGATCCATGCTCCACAAATTGATCAACTTCAACTTTATACTGATCTTGTGCTGATCACAAGTGGATCAAAATGTCATGAGAATATAATAGATAAAAATTACGTACAAAGCACAGTTTGATTAAGAAAAAGGAGAGTCTTTTATCATTGATTCATTCACACACATATCACTAGAGAAGATATGATTCTAATAATCTAAAGGGTATGATCACAAATTCGAACAGTTAACAGCAAAAACATAATTAAAGAACCAAACCAAAAAAAAAAAGCAGATTTAGAGAAAGAATATCTTAGTTAGACAATTCGTCGAGCAACTGGTGTGCATAGTCTCGTGCCTATCAAATTTTTCACAATGCCACGATACTTAAATCAGAAACAATCAATTACGTCTAATATATAGATAAATCATCAAAAAGGAAGTTCTTTTACGTACCCTTTCGTCAAATTTTAACGATTCTTATAACTTTCACCACCATAAACACTTGACGATTCTCTTCTTCTCTCTCTCAATCTCACCCAAAATCAAGTCCTCTCTTCTACAATGGAGTTGACTGGGCTAATGGGCCGGTGTGACTAGGCTAATGGGCCGGTCTATTGTGACCCAAAGAGAACAACAAAGATAAATAAAGTTTCGATTTTTATGTTTATCAGCTCTATGTGCTTCTCATTAGATGAGAGACTTTCGCTAATATTTTATGTGTTTGTTTTGTTTTTTGAATGCAGAAGTCCATAAACTTTATATACTAGCGTAAGAATATCCTAACTTAACATTCTAATAAACATAACACTTATATAGGTTGAACTACACTTGGTATTTGATATTTGTAGTTGTAATTTTCTTTTAGGGTTCTTTGAACCACTCCACGATTTTGATCCTTGATTAAATTTTAAAGTATGTTGAAAAGTAGAAAATATGTGTATCGAGAAACGATCTCTGACTTCTCTGATGTTATGCTTTCACTAACCATCTTTATAGAAAACATACAAAAAGATTTGATTCGTTTTGTCCTTTGAATAAATGTTTCCAAGAAATTCTGATTACCGCAGGAAAGATGCAACTTTTGGATTCGGGTTTATATTTTAACATAACAAATTTACAACACAATGGGCAACCAAAAAGAGGAGTTCATGTGCCAAGCACTTAGAAAAAAAGAAAAAAAAAAAAAAACAAGCGTGGTGTTTGGGTTTTCGAGCCTTGAGAGGTTGGTGGGTGTGTTGTTGTGAATCTCTAAGTTTTCTCTGTAAATTATATATTTGTTTACATGTATATAAAACAATGTTTCTTTTTAAAGTGACCCTTTTAAGCTTTCTTGAAAACAAGATTGTGCATAGATCTCTTCTAAGATCCTTAGCTTTGTTTTCTCTTTTGTGTCTAAAGATCTTGAAAGTCTTGTGTGCAATAACTTATTAAAGAGATAGAAAAAAATGAAGTTTATGAAACTTGGAACCAAACCTGATTCATTTCAGTCTAAAGGAGACAATGTTAGGTTTGTAGAAAACAAATATTTACCTCTATGTATTTCTCTGATTATGCTTAAGCAATGTTTTTTCTAAAACTGATATTATTTTTATTGGCTCTTAGGTATGTAACAAATGAGTTAGAAACAGAGATCATCATCATCATCGGCAATGTCAAGTTCTATCTGCATAAGGTATGAAACAAACTCTAGCTTTTAAAACATCAAAGAAGAAGCAAAGTTTTTATGTTTTTGTGTGTTTTTCAGTTCCCATTGCTGTCGAAAAGCGGATTCTTGCAGAAACACATAGCAACATCAAAAAATGAAGAGGAGAAGAAGAACCAAATTGATGAGATTGACATATCAGAGATTCCTGGTGGTTCTGTTGCTTTTGAGATTTGTGTCAAGTTCTGTTACGGCATCACGGTTACTTTAAACGCTTACAATGTGGTTGCGGTTCGTTGCGCGGCTGAGTTCTTGGAGATGAATGAAACGTTTGAGAAAAGCAATCTCGTTTACAAGATTGATGTTTTCTTGAACTCATCCATCTTCCGTAGTTGGAAAGATTCTATCATTGTTCTTCAGACCACAAAAGATCTCTTGTCTGATGACTCAGAGGAGCTCGTGAAGCGTTGTCTCGGCTCTATTGCTTCTACTGCTTCGATAGACACCTCGAAAGTCAAATGGTCTTATACTTACAACAGGAAGAAGAAGCTTGAGAAAGTGAGAAAACCAGAAGATGGTGTTCCAAAAGACTGGTGGGTGGAAGATTTATGCGAGCTTCACATCGATTTGTATAAACAAGCCATCAAAGCAATCAAGAACCGAGGTAAAGTCCCGAGTAACGTTATTGGAGAAGCATTACATGCTTATGCAATAAGAATAATAGCTGGTTTTAGCAAAGAGTCCATGCAACTCATTGATAGATCTTTGATTAATACAATCATAGAGCTTCTCCCGGATGAGAAAGGAAACATTTCCTCTAGCTTCTTGACCAAGCTACATCGAGCATCGATCTTTCTTGGATGTGAAGAAACCGTGAAAGAAAAGTTAAAGAAAAGAGTCAGCGAGCAGCTTGAAGAGACAACAGTGAATGATATCTTAATGTATGATTTGGATATGGTGCAGAGCCTAGTGAAGGAGTTTATGAACCGTGATCCGAAAACTCACTCGAAAGTATCCGTGGCAAAGCTCATTGATGGATACTTAGCTGAGAAATCAAGAGATCCTAATCTCCCTCTTCAGAACTTCCTCTCTCTCGCTGAGACACTCTCTAGCTTCCCAAGACACTCTCACGACGTGTTATATCGCGCAATTGACATGTTTCTAAAGGTAAAACAAGATTCAAATCCTCTGTTTTTCATAACGTTTCTTGATTTGTTAATAATTTGGAAAATTTTCAGGAACATTCGGGGATTAGCAAGAGCGAGAAGAAGAGAGTATGCGGGCTAATGGATTGTAGGAAACTATCCGCGGAAGCGTGTGAACATGCGGTACAGAACGAACGTTTGCCAATGCGGGTGATTGTGCAAGTTCTCTTCTTTGAACAGATTAGAGCCAATGGTTCATCAACAGGATATAGCACTCCTGAGCTTACCACTACTACTCTAAACACTGAGGATGATGAATGGGACCATGAGAAAGAGTTTTGATTGAATCTTTCTTATTTTGTTTCTTCAACACCATCTTTGAGTTTTACTGGTAGTTTTCATTTTCCTAAATTAGAAAACATTTGGTGCTTGACCTTTGTAATTGGGCCAAGTTTTAATGGGCTTTGTGTTCGGCTTGAAGCCTTTCTCATCTCGAATTTTAAATGAGAATAAAAATCAGAGCAAATTTTGCATTCATTTGTCTCGTTGATGATGGTAATTTCACTAATTTGGGAAATAAAATCACAAACTTGTAGTCAAACAATAATGGAAAAATTTGGAAATAAGAAAAATAAAAAAAATCTGATAGAGAAAGTTGAATAATATTCCTTTCCTTAAATATAAATTAATTATGTCATTTTGAGTTATAAAACTAAAATTCTCTAGGGTCAACAAAAATAGAATCGCCAGGTGGCGATTTAGTCCAATCACCAACAGAACCATCACTATAATCTTCTCCAAGCCGTTTAATACACCACAAATCCTCAGCGCACGATAGCACTTTCCAATGCGGTATCCCTCGCCGGAGCGGCTCTTCGCCGGCGACTTCTGCCGCCACCACGCCGCATCCTCCTTCCTTTGCCAAATTATGTGCATGGTCACACAATGCCTTCACCATTTTCTCCGCGCGTGGTCCTTCTCCGCCGATTCCGTACATAAAATGCAGCCCAAACGGCCGGAAAACCGCCGGGATCGACGGTATTTTCAAAAACGGTAGAGTTTTATCAACCATGCGCGTCGCTTTTGAAACCACGCGCCTCAATCTCGACGCGCCGCGAACTTCTAATCTAAACGAGTCTTTACAATTCCACACGCTTAAAACCGCCCACGAGTCCGGTGGATACTCCAAGAACTTAGCCGAACCGGGCCATGACCTAGACCCGGATCCGTAACAACTGCCACGTGGAACCGCGACGAATGTTCCTAACGAGAGTTTGTTATTCAAAACAGAGTCAATGTCGCGAGGGAAAAACTCGGTTGTGCTAAACCGAAGCCGGTATAGTAACTCAGCATCAGACGGTTCAAGCTTAATTACGGTAACCCGACGAGAAATGTTGACCCGGTGTGCGTAAACCGGGTTAACCAAAATAGACGGTGTACGAAACTCGGCGTAACCACATTTTCCGGTGAAAAGATTGACGGAAGCGTGATTGTCGTTTTCAGTTGCAAAATAGGAATATTCAGCCCCGTTTTGACTAAACCAATCTTCCATAGCCTTCACGAGCTTAAACCCTATCCCTTGTCTCCTGAAGTAATTAATTAAAAAAAAACGTGATTAGTTTAAGCGTTAATTACTCGTGATTGGTTTAGCGTTAAATGCGTGAGATTTAATTAAAACGTACCGGTGTGTAGGAGAAACGCGGAGACCCAAAATGTAAGCGAGTTTAGTGTAAAGTGGTTTGGTAATAACGACATCGTTTTGGGATTTGTTATGAGTTAAATCAAGTCTTTTGGTGGTGATACCACATGTAACGGTTTTGATACATCCCCGAATCATTCCAACTAACTCTTTCTTCTCTTTCGGACCAATCTCAGCCACCTATTACAAATTCCAATTTTAAGTTAAAACCTTCTTTTTATTTAATAGTTAACAATAATAATAACAATAAAATAATAATAATAATAATAATAATAATAATAATAAAGCTTTTGGGTTAGTTAGTTCATGTAATTGCTCTTTATATAAAGAAACGGGTTTTTAATATCTTCGGTTTGAGTTGTAACCAGCATGAGGCAAGAAGGTGAATGTCGTTTCACTTATCATTTTTTAATTAATTAACTATAAAACAAAACAAAACAAACCATTTTTTATTTTGATAAACAAACACAATCTTTTTTTTGTAAGTTAATAATTCGTATATTTGCTTCGTCATTATGAAAAGAAATTAGATTTCTCACTAATTAGTGATAAAATATATTTTGGTTAACAACTTAAATTTAGAAAACTGTATTTTTTTATATATTTTAAGATTTAGGTGTTATGAGTAATTTACCAGCATGAGGTAAGAAGGTGAATGTCGGACACGGCAAATAGGGTCACCTAAGAGATCGGTGAAGAGAGAAAGTTTTCCGGCTGGGCCAACTTCGCACCGCCGTTCAACATCTTCTACAGTGGCTAAGTCTTTACTTGGGTCGTATTCTCTAACCTCCACAAGCACCGTCATATTCTCTGTTTTCTAATTCCTCTAATAACTAAAAACAGAGGAGATTGAGAGAGCGAAAGAGAGAGAGAGAGAGATATGGAGAAATGAGAATAAAGTGTGAAGTAGTAGCTTAGGGTTTTATATAGAGGAAAAGAAGTGAGACTGTTGCAATAAGAAGTCAGCAGATTTTCCGAGGACATAGGATTT